ATTTCGGTGACACCAACACTGCTCTTACTCACAGTGGAAAGTCTCCTTTTATTGAATTGTTGAAACTGTTTGTCAAGAAACATCACTAAAAAAGCCTCTTCCCAAACAGTTTCTACTTCCCATTCTTTTCACTGTGATCAGAGTAATGGGAGAAGTCTCTCTGATAATACCAGCCTCCCAGACCTGCTCCGCAGCCCTTCTTGCCACACCAGAGTCTGCCCTATTGATCCCAATGTCCCCCTTCTCCTCGTCCAGCCAGCCCTAGCACTGCATGGGAGCCACCAAACCCCCATCTCAACCTGTCCCTGTATTTAACCATCTCTCTGCCCCCATCCTGCAACAGGACCTCTCTAGTTGTACTCGCCAAGCCCATTGCTTTCCTTTCTGCATCCAAGTACTACACATTTCTCCCTGCCCAGACCAGGAGGGGAAGCCCTGAGGCTTAGGTTTCATCACCTCACCTCCCTGAAGACTTTCGTCAGCTCTTCAGAGCAGTTTCCATAGCGCAAACTCATGTCCACAGTGTAGGTGCTGATGACCACGCAACCACCTGGCTTAACCACCCGGTTTGCTTCTCTCATGAACTTCTCGATATCAAACCAGTGCACAGCTGCAAACGAAGTCAGGAGGTCCACTGAGGCATCCTCAAAAGGCAGCTCCTCTGCAGGGCACACGCTGGAAGGGGGAAGAAGAAAAGGTAGTGTGTAATACAGGAATTAGAGAGTAGGACATGAAGTCAGTGGGTATATTTTGGAGTCGATGATGACCATTTGGGATGCAAGACCACGGCTACTGTAAGTCTAGGATAATGCCCGTTCACCCCAGGAATCCCATCAAATGGAATTTTCTTTGGCACTAGCTGGCTCTTGCAATGATCATACTCACAAAACACCACCTCCATGTGAGGACCTGAGTTTTGCTTTTGGCTGAGCTTGCTCCCCCAACACTCACAGGTAGGAGACATTGGGCATGGAGGGTGCATCCCTGGCCTCCTGGATCTGTGCTTCGCTGATGTCCGTTCCCACTACCTTCTTGAAGTGCTCTGCAAGGAAGCGGGTGCCTTGTCCAGATCCACAACCGACATCCACGACTAGCTCGGCAGGGTTTGCCCTCTGCAGGGAAGAGTGGATGCATCTCAGCGGGCAGCCACCCCATTTCTGGGTTCTTATGCCCACAAATACTACTGACCACAACTAGTGCCTTGTTTTTTTCCACAGCCTGGCCATACCCCACTCACCTTTTCCTGCAGATAGGCAAGGATGGTTTGCTGCAGCTCTTTGCCCGGAGCAAACCTGTATTTCCGGTAGACAGCCGCGTGCCCTCTCCCCTCAAACATCTGGACTGCCATGCTTGGGTGACCTGGCACCTGGAAGGAGGCAGTAAGCCAGGTTTCTTATCACGGGATCAAACTCCTCCTGTCTTTTTAGTCTGTGACCGCAGGCACTAGAGTCTCCAGGTCCTGGCAGGGGCCCAGGGACAACTTTACCCATGAGGCTCCAGCAGTGGAGCGTGAACCTGCTCTCCCAGGTATAAGTGAATCGCAGAAGCAAACCAGCAGTGTCCGACAAGGAAAAGCTGTCTAAACCCTTCTTCTTACTCCTTTGCTTTCCCCACCCGCCTGGGTATCTTCTGAAATAAGTCACCATTGCAGCTGGAATGTCTGTGGATTTGGGGGGACTGAGCAGAAAAACTAACAGTAGAAAAGTTTGGGGGTTAAGAAAATTCGTGTTTTAGTATTAGCAACACAATGACAGCAACTCCACCCTGCGCTTTCTGAACAACACAATAGATTTTTTTGTCCCTTTCTGCCCCAGAAATGCTTAAGATCAAGAGGCCCGTTAAACCCATCACCCAGAACCAAGCCTGGCCTTGCCATGGGGCCCCTCGGGCCTCCCGCCAGCTCAGCCCCGTGTCCACAGCACCGTCCAAGCTGCTTTCAGAGACACGGCACCCAGCGTGCCTCTGCTTCCCCATACATGTGAAGACCCAGCTGCTCTAAACCACATGGTCCATGCACCCACTGGGCAGGGTCCCACGAGCCGAGGCCCAGGGGCTGCCGGCACGTCAGTCTTCGCCCATCGTGCCAGAAGGCTCTCAGCCGTATCCTGTTTATCTCAGCGCCTGAGCACGCACCGACTGAGACAGCAGCAGCTCTGAGGTCTGATGACAGACCCCAAAAACCTGCCAGAAGGATTCCCTGCCTCGTTTGATGGGCAACGGCACCCTCTCGCATGCTTACAGCCGGCGAGGTGGGCAGAAGGATGCAACAACAGGGAGTTTCCCGAGTGATGCGCAAATACCCGACATCGCGCAAGAACGGGTTATTATACCTTGCGACGCACGAAGAGATGCTGAGCGAGGTCGCAGCGTAGCCAGCTCAGGACTAGACGCTCCCAGTGGGGAACAGCAGCCCTGCCAAAGCCCCTTTGTGGACGGGGAGTCCTCCGGGCGCTTTCCATGCGCTCAGAGAAGCCTTCTCCCACCAGCGAGCCCCCCGACCACCTCCCACCGGGCACCTCCACCCCTCCTCTTACCGGCTGCGGCACCCGCGAGAGGCGCTCCCAGCGGCTCCCAGTTGGGAGCTCCGGGGCCGGGATAAAGGGGAAGGCGGGGACCACCCCCGGTACCGCCCGCCCCGGGTGCGGGGCCGGAGGCGGAGAGGGGAGGATACAAAACCTGGAAGGCTGCTTCCACAGCCTCATCCCACCGAGATCCTGGAGCCCAAGAGCTGAGCCTTCCCCTTTAGAGGGTTGCTGTAGCTGCTCATTAAAAGACAGCTTGCAAAACGCCCCCGGGCTGGGGGGGGCTCAGCAGCACTACACGTATCAGGAAGCAGATGCAAAGGCCAGCAGGTGCTCTGAGGCAGAAGGCAAACAGGATTCAAACGCTGCTGGCACCCAAAAACCATACTCACAGGGGTCTGGCTGTGCTGAAGTACCCTCCTGTTGTCCAGCAGAGGGAAAACAAGCATAAACAGAGCCTGTATAGCACCAGCACCAGCTATCAGCAGCCTAGAGCATTGGTATTTAAGGACTAGGCAAAACCCCTCCCCTGATTTGGGACAGGATTTTACCCCTTCGCACATGAGAGTAACGCTTATTACATGCAGAGCCGTGGTTTGCTTGAAGCACATTCACTTCAGTTTGTATTTTTGCACAGCGCTTGTGAATCGATGCTAATTAGTACAGCCTTTAAACCCATCTTAATTTTAAGGGAAATCAGTGGAACTTACCCAGGGGCTGAAGATAGAGGCTACCTTGAAGCAGTTTTCTGACTCAAAGCATGGGTTGAAGTTGCTGGGTATTTCATTTGGGTCACCTGCTGCTTAATTGTACCAAGGGGTGCATGTCTGCACTAAGAGAAAATACAACACAAGCACCAAAGGCCCCTGTGTTTTCAGAACCCCCAGTGTCCTGCAGCACCTGGCAAGAGTCCGGCCTGTTTGGGGTTTAGATACCCTAATTTTGCCTGCACTTTGCTGAGAGCGTGAGCGCAGAGAAGGGATGATGGTCCAGGCTTCAGGCACCTGCCCGCTGCCCGACTCCGAGGGTCTCATAGCATGGGCTGCTCTCATGGGCAATGTACAGATGACATTTATCTGATTATCCTCTGGCCACAGCTGAGACCAAATGCCTACAGTAAAAGAAACTATGAACCAGGCATGGGCTGCAAATGGCACCAGTCCTTTTCTAAGCAATTCCAGCCTTTGGCACACTGAATTCAGCTGCCTTTGACTCCCTATCCCAACTCTAGACCTATTTATACTCCCCAAGTGACAGTTAATCTCTGATGGCCCTGCACCATGAAGCAATAAATTGGTCTCCTCAACCTGTGGATTGCTGAGCCTTAGCCCAAATGTCAGTTATTATACCCCAGGCACAGAGAATCAGACACTGTCCATCATACCTACCAGCCCACTTATTATATCCATAGGCTTTAAGGGGTACAAAAGCGCCCTGGGGTCTTCCTGATTCATTCCCCAAACCTAAGAGACCCTACGGATATAAATTATATAATAGGGTCCTGAATCAATAGACCTCCAAACCTTAATCTTAATGCAGAAAAGGAGAACGTAAGATGCCGACATCCCTCCACACCTACTATCCTGAAGTCTTGTGGCTGTTGGCTCTGCCTCCTCCCCACCGCTGTGCCTCTGCAGAATGCAATGGCACGCTGGCTCCCAGAGTTTTCCTTTTCCAAACAGCATCAGCAAGCTAAGCCCCAACCTCATCTATGGCCAGGAGATCAATTCCTCTCCTTGGGAAACAGAGGGGTACTCACTTGAGTGCTTCTGATACCTCCCCATGCTCCTCTGCCGCCGGCAGTGCCAGCCCGCGCTGTGTCCTCACCGTCCCACGGCAGTGCAGGTGCGCAGCCATCCCCCCCGCTCGGCCACTGGGGTTTCACTGCAGCCACTCAGACCATTTCCAGAGACATGTTTGGGTGGTTGTTTTTTTTTTTTTTTTTTTCATTGGGAATGCATCTCACTCTGAAATTTATTTAAAAAAAATAAAAATCAACCTATTTTGGGAAAAAAAGCACAAATGAGACTCCTGTCAGTCTTTCTGTGTCACTTGTCGGTATTTTTTACCAATAGCACTGTCATTTTTGCAGCACTGAAATGTTTTATCATGATATGGGAAAAGCCATTTTGTTTCTATTATTGATTCATTTCATCGCACATGAGTAAATATTATACTGAATTCTTGTTCTCAGTGTCATGACCTGACATCCAAGGGAGGCACTGCTGCCTCGTGAAAACAAAACATCTGATGTCACCTTAGCCAGAATCTTTGATATTTCTGAAGATTTCTTTTCCCCTCCTACCTTGTTTTGGTGCCGATGGGGAAGAGCTGCTCCATTTTATCCGGAATACAGATGCCGCTCTCAGAGCACACCTGGCTCTGTAACTGCGTTCATGCTGTCCTCAACAATAACCTTCTAGCAGAAAAATCTTCCCTAATTTCATGAGGAGAACTCTTAACCAGCTTCTTTTCCTGCAGCTACAAAACATGTGTTACAAAACTCATAAACACCTTCTAATTAATTACACCTATTCCTCAAATGGAAACCAAATTCTTATTTATTTTCTCCATGACTGTACTTTAAACCCAGAGATCGCAGCTTGGGGCCCTTTGGTCTTCTACCTGGGCCACTTAAAAACTCATAATGAGTTTTCTCTTTTCTTTAACGATGTGTCATTCACCTTCCTTCCACCTTCCTTCTCTTCAATGAAGCCAGCGTCCCACTCACCTCCAGGTTACGCCACACCTGCATCAACCTCTGCCTGTAGGATCCTGTCCACGGAGCTCAAGTACTGCCACGTACACTGAGCTACATCTTTTGGAGCATCTCCCAGTTTTGGAGGCTCCAATTACTAAAAGAATTACAAAATGACTTGCTCAGAGAGTTCAATTCTCCACCTTTTCTGTGGATAATCCCCTACCTGGAAAACACTCCAGGTCACCTTCCTAAGGAAGATACCTAAGGAATCTGAGGGAAAAGTCCAGCTCTGGCCAGCTGCATCCTCACAATGGAATTTTGCTGTAGTTGCGACTATGTTCGGATGGAGAGAAACACCACTTAACCCACATCTTGCTAAACTCAATGTGCCCAGAAAATGTGTGGCACTGAAGGGGTTTGGGATACTCATAGTTTTCTTGTCTTTAAACATAGACCCTAAAATTGCAGCAGTTCTGTAGCCCACAGACAGGTCATGGGCTTGCTGCATTTAATATGTCACCACCACTGCATCCTGCCTCTGTCCGTGGCAGGAAGACAAAGAAGGGGACACACCAACCTTCAGGTCTGTGTAAAGCGGTGTGAGTGGCCTTGTTTTTAGAGATTTTTAGAGATTTTGAACCCCCCAAGAGCAACTGGGACAAGTAGAGTCATGACGCATGTGCTGGCACCATCATTGCTGCTTGTAATGAGCTCCAAGATGTTATCCTGGGAAAAGAAATCCCGACCCAGTGCACATACCAAGGAATGCGCTGTGCCCAACCCAACAGGAGCCCTGGTGATGTCCAGCACTGCGTTTCACCCGACATCGCTCTGACTCCTCAGCACGACCTGTGGAAGATGCCGAGCCCCATCCTATGTTGCACTGGCCTGGTGGCACTGAACCCTGCAAATGGATTGGTGCAGCATGGAGCTAAAGGAAAGGGAGGCAAATCACCCTGTTGCAGTGCTGCATTTAATTTACAAATTTAATTGGTTTAAATTTCATTTCAGCTTCGATTGACTCAGCTGGAGCTCCTTGCTGGAGGGAGGGTACCCAGAGGGGAGGCAGAAAGGGTGACCAGCCACCACAGGAGGCAGGGGTGGGCTGGGGCCAACCTCCCCATC